CCAGCATCGCTCAATTCCCCATATGAAAGCATTGAAAAGCATTTTCAATGCTTTCCTATGGGGAGCTCTAATGCCGCGCATGCGCATTAGGTCTCCCCGGCCGGTGGGCGGGATCAGTCTCGCCACTGGCCGACCTAATGACTGGGAGGAGCGGCGAGCAGAAAACACCGCCGAGGGGCATTGGCGGGGTCTCAGGTAAGTGACCTGAAGGGGTTTTCACCCCTTCAGCTACCGGGGGATGGGTGGTGGGAGGGAGAGGGGACCTGCACTGGAGTTTCCCTTTAATAATCATTTATCATCATTGAGCATATGTCTCTAATATCATGGCAAATATTCAACAATCATCCTTACTAATCATAAAATTAGAAACAAAAATCAGAGACAGATTCTAAATATTAATTAAATAGTTAAAAAGGCTTAGTTTAGCAAGAATATGAACAATACATTTTTACCATGAATTAAAACTGGGGGAGGGAGGACTATGTTTTGCTTTTGGCAATAAAAAGAAACAACTGTTAATTGCACTGTATAATTTGGTTTTTTTTTGGTACATTTTTGTGAAAGGTTGCTTTTGTTCATTTGCTTGTGTGTATGTGCATTTTTATTGTACTTCAATTACTTCCAATTAATTCAATAATATTGACAATACTTTTTTTTTATTATTAAAGGGATAATCTAAGCACGGAAAACAAGTTTAGCTCAAAAGAGTGGTTTTGTTGTACAGATCACGCCTCTGCAATCTTACTGCTGAAATCTCTGCTATTTAGAAGTTAAATCAACTTTGTTTTTACAGCCCTAGCCACACCTCTCTTACCTGTGACTTACACAGCCCTACTAAACACTTCCTGTGAAGAGATCTTTATTTCTTAAACTTCCTTCACAGCACAGTGTATTTAAATGAGAATTGCTTATCTCCTGTTCTCTCAATAGTCTGCCACAGCCTGCTAGAATCTGCACTGATCAGTAGTTGAGAACTTATATAGTAAACATACTGTGCTGTAACATCTGATTGAATATGAAACCAATTATCCTGGCTGTGTGAGTCACAGTCAGGGGAGGTGTGGCTAGGGCTGCATAAACAGAAACAAAAGTGATTTCATTCCTAAATGGCAGAAAATGGAACAAAAAATAAATATATACACCCAAGCTGCTCCATGAAACTAAAGTTGTTTTGATGTTTACTTTTAAGAACTGTACAATACTCTTTAAATGGATGGGTATGGGAAACTGGAAATTGCTAAATTTTCTACTTGATGTGAATGTTGCAAACTCTGTCACATATCTGCCTCTATCTATCTATCTATCTATCTATCTATCTATCTATCTATCTATCTGTCTCTGTCTATCTGCCTGTCTATCTGCCTGTCTGTCTGTCTGTCTCTGTCTATCTAACATGAGCAGTACAAATCCTGGTGAACGGTTAGTGCTGATAGGAGAAATTCATATACTGTACGACAGCGTCTTCTTGTGCTTACAGTGTTTGTAAATTCTCAGGTTTATCAGCCGAGGGGCCATGTGACTATGACGCAGGATCTCATCTATGCTCAACAACAAAAGTTTGTTGATTTATGAACTTCTTTAAGGAGAAATAAATGTCATGCAATATCATAGGTGACTGGACTAGACATGCTATCTCACCATATGAATCAGGAATATTTAAATACAAATTTAAAGGCTATACCCATTTATGGATAAAATATAAACTAACTACATGTATTTATTTAGAGGGGGGAAGTAGGACATGTATAGGACAGATATAAAACAAACAAACATATTTCCCGATTTATCCTAATTTCATCTAACATTACTCACCAGAAAACATGAAAACATGAAAACGTGAAAAAATGGTTAATATTCTTGCATTTTGGTTTATATATATATATATATATATATATATATATATATATATATATATATATATATATATATATATATATATATATATATATATATATATATATATTCTATAGAAGATCTGCTATAATGAAATAAAAAGTTTTTCTGTGTTTTAATATGGTAAACCATAACAGAATAAGTTGGAGCTATATAAATGCCAGTAATAAATATACTACATACCTGAAAACGAGAGAAATCTCCATGTATCTTTCCTGGTAAAATATTTTATAAATAAATAATATTAATCATAATTCTTATTCATTGGACTTAATGACCCTGACTGATGCCTTGTTAGTAATGCCTTACAAGCTGACTTGCCAAAGTCTGCTATAAATATCTTTTGCATGGAATATTTTTTTCAATGTGCCAGTGCTCATCACCAGTCCCCTGTCCTGATAGTGCAAGTATTTTAAGTATGCTACGGGTCAGAAGGGTGTTTGGGTGGTTACATATAAATAGGAGACAGGTTAATGAAATGTGCCTGTTTGTCTCCACCAGTACAAAGGCTCAATGAGTTACAGCTTTCCAGAGGAGCATGGTGTGTGGGATAACGTAGCTCATAAGGTAGAGAGACTTTACTGATAATTCGGTCCTGTGGAAACATTGAGGGTTATTTATAAAGACATTGTGACGACATTCTAAATTTACAGCAACCAAAAGAAATGTTCTATTGTTTTACATCACGATTTCCATTGCGAATCCCATTACCTTTAATGCTATGACTTATATTATGTAATAAATGACAAGAAATTGCAGAATTCCTAATTATTATTGTAATCCTACCCAAACATGACTTCTAAGAAACAGGCTTTAAGTATAAAAGTGAAATTGTCATTGTCAAGTTCGTTATGGTAAATATGCTGGTACTAATTATGGAGGCACCGCTGCTTATGCCAAGAAGTGCAAGAAGTGAGGTGAAACGTGTATCACGTAAGGTAAACGTGCCAACTCCCCCAGCGATTATTTATGAGGTTAAAAGGGCAAAATAGGAACCATAACTACTACAGCTCATTATTATTTTATTATTATTATTTTATTTTTAATATAGTTCCAGCAAATTCTGTAGCGCTGTACAATGGGTGGACTAACAGACAAACCAGACAAATGAATGCACAGGAACAGAGGGGTTGAGTGCCCTGCTTAATGAACTAACATGCTAGAGGGAGTGGGATATAGTGACACAAAGGGTATAAGTAGGGGTAAAGAAATAAGTTGCTAAAAAAGTAATCACTGAGAAGTAGGAGTAATTAAATAGATTGCTAGAAAAGTAATCACTGAGAACTTATTATTATTTTTGACAGTTGCAGGATAGGAGTAATGGGGTGGGGGGGATGAAAACCTGCTAACAGTTTAGATCAGTGTTTCCCAACCCAGTCCTCAAGGCACACCTACCAGTCCAGGATTTAGGGATTACAGGGTGTGTCTAAGGTGTTTTTCCAAAGAAGAAAAAAAACACCTTAGACACAACTGGGTAATCCCTAAATCCTGGACTGGTAGGTGTGCCTTGAGGACTGGGTTGGGAAACACTGGTTTAGATGATATGCTTTCCTGAAGTGTGTTTTCAAAGATTTTTTGAAGGAGTGGAGACTGGGTGAAAGTCTAACGGAGAAGGGAAGGGAGTTCCACAGAAAAGGTTCAGCCCTGTGGGAGTACTGACAGAGGATAGGTGTAGGTCTTCAGCAGAGCACAGGGGCCTTGACGGCAGCATTATCTATGGACCCTATATCTAACTGGAAGCCAATGTAGGAACTGACATAGGGGAGAGGTATGGGAGGTGCGGACAGGAAAATGAGCCTTGCCGCCACATTCATTATAGATTGCAGCGGTGGAATCTGGGAACACGTGAGACCACTGAGAAAGGGATTGCAGTAGTAAAAGCGAGAAAGAACAACAGCATTGACCAGCACCGTAGCTGCGTCTAGTGTTAAACAAGGGCGGAAGCGAGCATGTTTTTGAGATGGAAGCGGCAGGATTTGGCGATCGACTGGACATGAGGGGTGAAGGAGAGGTCGGAGTCAAAGAAAACACCTAGGCAGCGAGTCTGAGAGGTAGAGGTGATGGTGGCGCCTTGACTTGGAGGAAGACAGACAAGGGAGTAGCAACACTTGAGGGAGGAAAGACCAGAAGTTCTGTTTTGGACAGGTTCAGTTTAAGGAAGTGAGCAGCCATCCAGTTGGAAATCGCAGTCAGGAGAGGCAGTCAGAGACATGAGTCAAGAAGTGAGGAAAAAGATCAGGAGAGAACAGGTAGATTTGTGTGTCATCTGCATAGAAATGATAATGGAAGCTAAAGGAGCTGATGAGTTTACTAAGGGAGGCAGTATAGATGGAGAACAGTAGGGGATCAAGGACAGAACCTTGGGGAACGCCGATAGAGAGAGGTTTGGGAGAAGAGGCAGAGCCAGAAAAAGAAACACTGAAAAAAAAGTGTTGGGCAAGGTAGGAGGAGCACCAGGAGAGAGCAGTATCCCATAGACCGAGATTACGGAGAATGAGAAGAAGCTGTTGATGATCAACAATGTCAAAGGCAGCAGAAAGATCAAGGAAAATTAGGATAGAGTAATGGTCACGAGATTTAGCAGCGATTAAATTTTTGGATACTTTGGTCACAGCTGTTTCAACAGAGTGACGAGCGTGGAATCCAGACTTAAGCAGGTTTAAGTAGAGAGTTGGATTCAAGGAAGTCTGTCAATCTCGCATACACAACTTTCTCAAGGATCTTGGAAGCGAATGGTAGTAACGATATAGGGTGGTAGTTGGATGGGAAGTTGGGGTCAAGGTTAGGCTTTTTCAGAATCAGCGTCATGGTTGCATACTTGAAGGGTGAGGCAAATGTGCCGGAGGAAAGGGAGAGATTGAAAATTTTAGTTAGAGGAAGAGCAAGAGAGGGAGACAGAGTGCGGATGAGATATGAAGAAATAGGATCGAGGGAACAGGTCGTGAGGAGGGAGGACCGGAGCAGAGCAGAAACCTCTTCCGTTGTAGTAGGTGCTAATGAGCATAGAACAGCGGAGGGAGTGGGGTTGGGTAATGTATTGGAAGGGAAGGGAGAGAGGTTAGAGATCTCTTCCCTGATTGTAGAAATCTTCTCAGTGAAGTGAGTTGCAAAGTTTGAGGTGGACAGGGTGGTAGGAGGAGGGGGAGCAACAGGGCGAAAGAGAGCATTAAAAGTGTGGAATAGTTGTTTGTGTTCGTGGGAGAGTGTGGTTATGAGGGTATTGAAGTAATTTACTTTTGGAGAGGAAAGAGCTAGTGTGTAGCAGCGCAGCATATATTTATAGTGGAGGAAGTCAGGTGCAGAGTGAGACTTTCTCCAACAGCGTTCAGCCGTTCTTGAACATTTTTGGAGATATCGGGTCAGCTTGGTGTGCCAGGGTTGTAATTAGGAATGCTTGCTGGATTTAAATGTAGGAGGTGCCATGATGTCTAGTTGAGAGGAGAGAGTGGCGTTGTAGAGTGAGGTTGCAGAGTTAGGGCAAATGAGATTTGAGATGGGTAAAAGGAGAGTTTGTAGTTTGGTGGAGTAAATGCTGGAGATCAAGGCAGTCGAGGTTTCTGTGAGATTAAAGAGCTGAGGGTGGTGAAATTTGGGTATAGGGTATGCTGATGTCAAAGGTCAGCAGATGGTGGTCAGATAAAGAAAATGGAACAGTGGAGACATTGGAGGTGGTACAGAGATATGTGAAGATGAGGTCAAGAGTATTTCATGCTGTATGAGTTGCTGAAGTAGACCAATGTGTGAAGCCAAAGGAGGAGGTTACAGTGAGCAGACGGGAGGCATCAGGGCAGTTGAGGTTGTTCATTGGGATGTTAAAGTTCCCAAGTATGAAGGAAGGAGTGCTTGATGAGAGAAAGTGGGGTAGACAGGAAGAAAAGGTTACCCCTTTTAATGCCTGTAGGATATTGGCCCATTGCGAGTCTGAGATGTTCTCCCCACAGTCACGAGCTCAGTCTGTGGCATTGGTGATCTTATTTTAAAATAAATGGACAGGGAATTAATCCAGATGGATTAACTGTGAGTCTTTACAATTTTCATTGACCCATAATATTTAGATGCTGCAGAGACAAAACAGTGTAAAAGCATGATCTATGGTGATATAATAAAGACTGGGAATCCATTAGGTATGTGTGGAGTCGGACAAAGGTCATGAAGACCCTGTCTGGACTGTGGGTCTTCAGTAGTTTCGTAATAAAAGGCATTGTCTCCAAAATCACAGACACACAATGCTGTAAAGGGGGATGTGCATAGAAATGCACATTTATCAGCATTTTTAAGTAATGTTATCTATTCAAACTGATAAAAGTCTATAAGTAATCATGTCCTACTAGCACATAGTTACTCATAGAAGAAAAAAGGAACTTTCCCTTCCAACCCAGACACATCCAATAGATAAGCGGTTTTCTACCAAAGGGCTTTTATGTTAAAGGACGCCGTTAATTTTAATTTGATATAATGACTTTGTAATTTGTATTTATATTCATTATGCTTAAAAACAACTTAAAAATGTAAAATGTTTTAAGCTCAATATAGATGCCAGTTGGGATAAATGTGTTGTTTCTCGAGTTTTGTTGTTTAATTATTTATTTTTTGGGGTTCTGTGTCTTGAGCAATATTTATTTTTCTTCAAATTAACTAAAGCAATTTTACAGTTGTTCCTTCCTGTTGTGACAATTCAGAAATATTACTAGACACGGGATAATTGAGGTTTCTGTAGACACCGTACATGAAAAAAAATCTGTTGGAAATGGAACACATGTTATGAGTGTTGGTAGATGATATTACTCCCTTCAGGCGATTTTGTAACACAAAGAAATGATGATCAAGTTATTATACTACTACAAAATAAACAAAAAGACTATTTTTTGTAGGACAACCTGTAACAAGGTTTAAAAAAATAAAATAAAACTCCAAACCATGTTTCCAGAGCATTGCTTCCAAAAATGGAAAAAAAGGGTTCACTGTCACTTAAATAAAAAAATTCTAATTTAAATCAGCGTACATTTGGTATCATATACTTTGGAGATACTTGATAGAAAAAAAATTACGTAAATAGTAATTTATAAATAGTAATTCTATGGCAAGATTCCAAAAGTTGCAATCACCATGGCAACCAATGGGACATTCCACCTGGTTGCACATGCTTTTAAAAGGTTGTACCACAATTGGCCTTTATAAATAAGTCCTGTTAAAAGAGAGAAATTATAGTTCTAATGTTAGACATTTAAAGGGTCTATGTCAGCAGACATGCTGTATATCTTCAGTGTCAGAATGCTGACTATTAGGATTTGTCTTGTAGGTTCGAGGCTTTCTTGGCTCAGGACAGATCCCACACTCTGATGCTCCTGGCTTTAAAGTGGCAGGAGGCATGATTTAGTGAAGAGGCAGTGTAATCTTCATCAGAGACGACCTCTTTTATTTTCCCTTTTTGCTTCATCCATGTCACTGATCAAAGCAATGCCAAACAGAGTAGGAAGATTCAGGAGGAGAATGGAACACATATCAGCAGACACTACAAACATTTCACTGTCTCTGTCACAGGGAAGGTCTGCTTCACCAGATAACAACACAAAAAGTTTTCAGCTATGAGTAAAAAAAAATGCTCTGACCCTATGTCAATGAGTTAAGTGCTGTTTGGAGAAGACTGAATCAGGCATCCTTCTGAAGATTGGAACATAACATAATGACTGCTTGAGAGGTGTTAGGAAGATTTATACAATGTCAAAATTGCTTGGGCAGTTACTTAGATAAATATGTTTTTTTTTAATTGAAACATTTTGTTAAAAAGACAGATATTAACTTTAATAATTACGAATCTTGCCATTTTCTGACCTAACTATGGAAACCCAAAAAAGCCATAACATTTTATTTTCTATTATGTTAAGAAAACAACTTGTTTTTATGAGATAACATATTGTTTACTCAAAATAACAACTTTGTTTTGTCAAGAAAATTTGTTTTCGCAAGATAACTTGTTTTCTCGAAATAACTTGTTTTCTCGAGAAAACAAGTTCTTTTCTTAACATAGGTCAAAATATTTTTTTTAAATACATGTCCTCTCTGGACCTCCTTACCTACATATTAACTTACCTATACAGATGTGTTGGGGATGACCTACTATGAACTTTCACTTTGCATTTTATATTCTGTAACTGAAACACCGTATGAATTATTTTAAGAAAATCTTTAAAAAAAAAAATTCTTTTCTTAGCATTTACTAGAATGAATTAATTCTGAGGAAAAATATAACAAAGCAGATAATAAACAAATGCTGAATGATGAGTAATCATTGATTCTCCAACTGGTGGAACATTACTGACTGATCACCATGTGATGTATGGTCCTTAACAGCTTGATTGCCAATGGTTAGCCGTCACTGTTCTAGATGTATCAAGACAAGGCCTTGCTATATCCTAGACCTTGTGAAGAATGGGAAATTTGTAATAGCCATTGAGGCAACTAAGCGCTCGGCTGCTGGAGATTGTCTTAGCAAATTGACTTCCCAAGCATTAGTTTGCTGTGAGAAAATTACCAAAAATTTAATTTTGCAGAACTATAGCAGAAAAATACACCACAAAAAGAAACTCTGTAGCAGTATTATAACGCCATGGGTGGTTATGTACAATAATGTGTTATTATTGTTATGAAAAGTGGTGCAAACTTGGAAAACAGGAGAAGTTCCCAATGTGTGTACCAGCTGGTTACACTGGTTTCCATGATAAGTGCCTCAATTTTAGTACTTCCTCCATTTTTCAGAACACCAGTTTTTTTGTGTTCTAAAGAACCACCCTGGGAAGTTAACGTCTTAAGAGGTTGATAACATCTGTAGAAAGAAATTAGCTATTACAAGTAGAATTAGCTATGACAAAATCTGAAGTTAGAAGGAGGAAAACTTACAACTAACATCAGAAAATGTATTTTTAGACATAGGGTTGTGGACTTATTTTAGCCTACAGCAGCTAGGCCAGGGCTTAGAACAGCTAGATGGCGGGGATGTAAAATTAAAAAAATAAGAAAATAAATATATATATGTATATATATATTTTTTTTCCAGGCTTTTACTTCTTCAAGCAATCACTTGCTTCTTCAAGCAATCACAATTCTGGCAACAGTTCATACCTCTCTTCTGGAGATGGGATGTAGCACGACCATTTTCAATATGGTTTTCTAAGACAGAAGAGCTGAGGGCTCTAGAGTAATTGTGGTAGTCTTGGCGGGGCAGGGACAAGGCATACACTGAAATGTGTCTGTAGCTGCTAGATTTGGTCTCCACGTCTGACTTTCTGCAACTGTTATTGGGCCTTTAGCTAAGGCTCGAAGATTAGGTTAGAGTCACATCTTTCCCACAGGAAATCAAGTTCTCACTGTTCTTTTAAGATTTATTGCCAGGTTGCTGTCAGAATTTCATGATTTAAGTTCTTTACACAATTTACATTAAAATGTGTTTTGCAAGGGGCGTGGTTTGGACACTGAAAGGAGCAGACGCGTGCCTGCAGAGATCCTGCTGCTTACACAGCATATACCCTAATTTTCACTGTTTCTTGCCTTGATACCGACAAAAAAGAGTAAAGCCCTCATGGGGGATGGCTCCAGAAATATCCAGTGACCTCTTGATGTTGCGGCATAGGCCCAAAATGGCAGTGCCGCCGGACTCACCTTATTCCTCCTCCAAAGATGAAGTACTTGATGCCCCTGACGACATACCAAGAACGGAGGGTCTGGACTCTTCCCCACAGATGGAGGATCTGGCAGCACTGGCTACTAAGGGTGATATTAAGGCCCTTATGCACAATATCAGTGCTTTCTTCAATGCTGACCTGGATATAATCCGGGAGGATATGACTGTGGTCACTGCCCGAGTAACAGTTACTGAAGAGTCCATCTCCTCCTTGACCCAATATCAAGAGAGTAACACGGAGCAGATCTGTCAACTCCAGGCTGCACATAAAGCTGTCCAAGTCCAAATAGCTTCTCTTGAAGATACGAGATGACGCACAAAACTCAAGTTAGAGGTATCGCGGAAACAGTAGACGATCAGGAACTGACACATTTCCTGCGACGCCTATTCGCTTCAATATTACCTCAATGCTTGGCTAAAACATTCAACTTCAGTTTGGCCAAATCCACCAGAGCCCCGACTGTGGCTACTCAAGATTTGCTAGTACGCTTCCTCATAATCCGAGATAGGATGGTGGTCCAATAAGCGGTGAAGAACACCAATTTGAGGGGCTGCAGCTCCACTTTCTACAGGATCTATGCTGCTCCACATTGACCTGGTGAAGATCCCTCCAGAGAGTCACGCAGTCCCTGACATCAGCAGGAGTTGCCTACAAGTGGGGACCCTCACACACCCTGATAGCTACCAAAGATAGCTGCAACTATCACATTACATCTGCAGCTGACACAGCAGCATTCCTCCCGAAATTGGGCATTACCCAACCTGAAAACACCAGAGATGGACAAGCATGCTCCTGGGACATTTCCAAGATTATACCATTCACTCCGTGATCCAGTGCTGACACCGACTGATGTCGGGAAGGACTCATGGTGGCCAGTTCTTTGCAAAACTGAGACTTGGCATGCTCAAATACATCATGCTATTGCTTATCTTTTGTATCTATATCTGTTTCAGATACACTGTTTCAGGATATCTTTTCTATACATTTGTATGTAAACTCATATGGGTGAGTTGGTCCAAATCTGAGCGCTCCACATGTACACCAGTGGTGGTTTTTATTTCTAATCTCCTACACTGAGTGTTTACTTGGTTCACTCATTTTGACTGTGTTCACTGAAATTCCAACCCAGTCACGAGATATACAGAGGCAAAGTAGGGACTACAAGGCAGACTACGGAGTCGATCTCTGCAGCAATCATCAACAGGAAATTGGCTGTGTCTATGGAGGGTCTTGCGGGATCCCCCATAGACGTCAATGCTGTACTGTCATTCATGTGCGAGAGTACAGAAGTGACATTGGGGCCGAACAGGGCACCGCCTGGTCAAGAGGGCGGCGCCTGCTAAGGACTGGTTCCACTTTTGTAAACTCACCTTTACCTGCCCTTTACCTGCCCACAAAAATTCAAAGTTTGTAAGTAGTGACAGTACCGCTTTAATCATTTCTAGAGTCTTTTTTTTGCCTAACAGGGTTATTTACGAAAGTGAGAATTCAAAGTAAAGTCAAGGAGAATTTAAACTTAATAAAAATAAATCATAAAGTGATTCGCAATGGTGCTCAAAATGAGTGTAAAAATGCTTGGGGGATTGGGAGGGGTAATAAGCAGTTGCATGTAACATGGGCTCCTCAACCAAATCGCCCTAATTCATGCCACCTACCTACACACCACCATCTAGAGCTATCAGCGCTGACTGGGTTAAGGCCCCCACTATGGCAAACTAGGCAAGCGGCGAGGTCCAGCAACAGAGGCCGACACTAACCAAAATTGGATCCCCTGTGGAGTTGGATATGGTGCGGGGGTGATGTTCCTGATGACCACTCGGCATCTATGGCCTCAACATGAGCTCAAGGTCCCGAAGGATGGACAGTGCCTGGCCCATTGAATATATAGGTTAAATCAATGACATGGGACTGAGCTAACTGTGCTCTTAAAGTGTAAGCTGGGAGTATAGTATTAACATAAATTTAATCTGTTTTAAATAGTGGGCCTCGACTTGGGGTTGGTTTACACCTAGATCTGTCTGCTTAAGATATGGCTACCTATTATATACATGCCTATTCAGTTTTATTATTTAGCCTGTAACTCTTGTATTATTGTTTTCTATTTTTTTGTTTTTTTTTAAAGTGCACCTCATGACTACTCACAACTATGTCTTGTTTCATTATCTTATGCTATATGTCATATTGCCAACATGTCTGAATCTGCACTGCAAAAAATAAAGAATACAATTTAAAAAAAAAATGCTCTTTGTGCAAAAGAATGATGCAGTATAAATATAATTGCAATAGTATAATAAAATACCAATCAAACCATAACATTAAAACAACAACAACAAATAGTTTGCAAACAATTATTAAATATATACTTATACACAGGACATATTATTCTGTAGACCTGAAAAGTTTAAACAACAAACATATAGCGTATTAACATTAAGACATTTTTCCCAAACAACAACCCTTAATAGATAAACCCAGAAGGGAGGGATGGCTTTGTGCCACTCAAACTGCTGAGCACTGGGAGGTTCAAGCCCTTGAAAACGTTTGATCCAGGGGACTACAATCAGATCTTCTACAAGGATGACAGGGTCGCCAGAAATCTGGATTCAAATGCTTTATTTCACATAAAACACCATTAAAATCAGCTATCTCAGGCATAAAATGCCATGTGCCAAGTCTTTCAATGTCCGTAATTACAGTTTGTAGTATAATCACTACGTAGCATAAAGGTAACTATATAAGGAAGCTTGCCCATTACAACACTTTAGGTGCAGACCTCCAGCATGTAATGGACTTTTCTCCTCAGACTGCCGTTTGCTGACTTAACCACAAATAGTTTTGACCCTGGAAATTAGGCTTTTTCAATTGTAACCAAACATCCTGTGAAAGTCTAATTTATGCCCCAATAATAATCATCATTAACTCTTAAACAAAATCTCAAAATTACAGGGACACACATCACTTTACAAATATTTTAAACCAGCAAATATAACAAATATAAAAAAACAAAAAAGAACATTAAATACTTTGAAAAGTTTAATAAAAATAATAAACATTTATAAACTATAAACTTGGTCTGATTGCATTATTGGGCAAGCCTCTCAGCTAGGTGAGTTTCTTCAGCACCCCCTTACTAACCCATCTCAGTTTCAGACCAGTCCACTAATGACAGTAACAGGGCATCAATGTGTAGCAGGAAGACACTGGAACCAGCTGTGCATGATCACACTGATCAGATTCCATCTCTTCCTTCCATGTTAAGATGTTGCAAGGTGAAGAGATCTTCCAACTGCCCATGTGTAAATCTGTCAGGCATGTCCAAAGCACGTTTCCAGCAATCTAAATGATAAGACCCCGATTGGTTAGACCAGTGACTCCCTCCTCCCCCCACCCATAGTAGTTGTGGAAAGCATAAGAATGAAGAAGGAGGTAAACAGGAAAAAATAATAAGAAAAAATGAAATGTATGCTTTTTTCAGCCTTTAGAGTAAATCAGCTGTCTCATTCATAGCTAAAGTGATGCATGTACCTATAAGCCAAGAGTAGCTGACCTCAAAGCATAGCTGACTTAGAGAATTATTTCCAGATCTGCTATATTGACCTTAAATTTGAAATTCAGTTTGAATTAATGTTAAATTTTTATTTTAGTGAATAACCCTCTTAATATGTATTGTCTATTCATGAATTTTTCTCCCCCATCCGTTACTGTTCCCAGCAATACTTCCAACAGTGTCTCTATGAACATTTAGTTCCTTTGCTATCTTTTTGTATCCTGTTCCTTGTTTGTGAAGGGCATTGATCTCTTCTCTTAACTTGTGGACCATTCTTTTGACTTGCCCTAAATCTAACATGCAGTCAAATGTGACACTCAACAAACCCCTAGCCCAAGCATGTCAAACTCAAAGGCTAACATGGGCTCATTAAATAAGGTTTAAGTATATGTGGGCCACAAAATAAAAAAAATAGTTCGGCCTAGACCAACACAAATTAAAATTACTTGTGTTGTTCTCATGTAAACAATATGTAAGTCTAGGTACAAATATATAATTTACTCAAAAGTTTCACTTCAAGTTACTTACTATGCCCCTCCAATCTAATACACAGCCTCCCGCAGCCCAACCCCACTCTAATACACTGCCCATCCCCCAATCTAACAATCTGCCCCAATTTAATACACTGCCACCCTCCCTCCAATCTAAATTTAACACACTGCCTCCCCTTTAATATACTGCCTTCCCTCCACTCTAATTTAATACACTGCTCCACCTCCCACCACTCTAATACACTGCTTTCTCCCCAATTTAACTCACTGCCCCACCACTCTAATACACTGCCCCACCTCCCTCCCCCAATTTAACAAATTGCCCCCTCACTCTAATATACTGCTCCGCCTCCCTACCCCCAATTTAATACACTGCCCCCCTCCCTGTCCCCAAATTTAATACACTACACTACAGGAAGGTTCCCCCAAGCCCCTTTTCCCCTACCTTAAGCCGGCTTCAGTCCAGAACTGCATGATCTTCTCTACTCAAGCAGGCCACATGCTCATTTGGCACTGTGAGCAGCAGGGAAGGGGGAGAGGTGGGCCTGCTCTGAACACAGCCAGCCACTCTGAGCAGTGTAGCGCCACTGCGCAGCCACCGGATATGACTCCATATGATGGAGCATGGAATCAGCCGTGGCCCGCATGAAGGCCACAGCACAAAGCGGCCCCAGGGCAGGTGGCCTGCCGGAACATTTCCAGGTATCCCGGTGGGCCAATCCGCCCCTGGGCCGCAAAAATACCCCCACGGACCACATGTTTGACATGCTTGCCCTAGCCAGTTCAGGTATTTTAAGTGTTCCAACTCAAGCACACATGCTGCATCTAATGAAGTCATTGATTAGTTGCCTCAGGTGTGCTTGAGACAAAACCTGTTTGGCATATTTGTGAATAGGGATTCTATTCAGGGAATTGAATGATTTTGAGGCTGGAAAAGTCATTCTAAGTTGCATTTTCAGGTGAATTTGGGGAAACCACTTGAAGCATTCGTTGTGTTAAGCTATTTCAATAGCTTTTGTTTGATTTTTTCGTTGCAAACAGCAATATTATTTCAATCAATTATTTTGATTACAACTGTATATGTGGGGTAGGATAGGGTCTGCATTCTATAAACAAAAAGTCCCATTTTGTTATCATTAGTTCATTAATTTATTCTTCTCCTCCCTGCCTTTTACCTGTGGCCAGAGAGGGTGGACATTACACTCCCCGGGATATCCAGTGGCATTATGCAGGCTGCCAGGCTTCCAGGTGCCGGTACAGGGAAGAGGGGGCCCAGCAAACCCGATCTGCAGCTTCCGGCTGCTTCTCTCATTAACCCAGTCTGTGTGCTGCTGTAACCAGCGGCAACAGTCTGATGGCCCGGGCTCATGAGAGTTGGAGAGAGGAGCTGCCGGAAGCTGAAGATGGCTTTTGCTGTGCCCTCTCTTCACTATACAGGCAGCTAGGGATCTGCAGGGGCACACACATATATATTTAGTGATAATTGTTTTTTATATATATATATATATATATATATATATATATATATATATATATATATATATATATATATATATATATGCACATTGAGTATGTGTCCCAGAGAGGCCCAGGTCCCATACAGCTGTATTGGCTGTACCCTCTGATGTCGGCTTCACTTATTCCACTTATTACATTAAATATTTTGTGCTCAGATTCTATGAAAGACCCAAGTGACAGACTCTTGGCAGATCCAAGAATATTTAGGTTCCAAGCAAAGTGTAATGCTTGAGAATATTTTTTTTTGTACAGTATGTTTTTAATTACACAAAATAAATAAATCCTATTTTAGTAGAATTTACAATTTTTGTTTGTCACCAAAATCTACACAAAATCAATCCTTGTGTTTTTTTTTTTTTTTTATAAATTAGGCAGTGTAAGCACCAAACATATTTTTGCAAATACACATGTGCCATGGTTTCACAGGATGGCAGCCTAAAAAGAAAAAAAAAAAGTATTTGTGAAAATCTAGAATTACTAGAGCTTAACAAACCTTTTTTGTTGGTTAATCCACAAACTTTTTTTGTGTCTCAGCAAAGTCACTTCAAAGTTACTACTTAGCAACTGCCGTAAAGTTTACATTAATTAGTAAAGGGTTTTATCTAGAAGGTAAGTGCTCCACTGGAAACTATAGAAATTACGGTACCATGTGCTATTCAATAAATGTCACTGTAGTTTCTTGGGTGAAAGGTAGCGTAAGGTCTCACTAGACAAGCTACACAACAAAACAAACTAGACATGTGCAATTCGTTTCTGTCCGAATGTGAATTCGGACGAATTTCGGGAAATTCGGACATTCGGGTACTTTTGATGAATTGCCGAATTGCCGAATGGTTGAAGTCCCGAAATTCAGAAATTACCAAATTTCCGAAGTGTCGAATTGCCGAAGTGCCGAAGTTCTGAAGTGCTGAAGTTCCGGAGTTCCGAAGTGTCGGAGTGCCGATGCTCCGAAGCACAGTATTGCCTAAGAACTAATATACTTACCCAGTGGAAGAATGAAGAATGTTATACTGTATACAATTTTAAATAAAAAGTATACAAACATAGCCAGGATTCAGCTGTAAGCATTTGCAACACTTACAACAATCAAGTAACATACATTCATATAAAATGTAAGTTACTTAGCCAGTCAGTGTAATGACAGGAATGAATAAGTAGATAACTCCCTAATTCCCACGGTATTAGGGAGCTATTTACTAAAAGGCTGAAAGACCTAAATTGGTCTTTCAGCCAAATTTACTAATACTAAGTAAAGATTATAATCTGCACCAATTTAATACACTGCCACCCTCCCTCCACTCTAAATTTAACACACTGCCTCCCCTTTAATATACTGCCTTCCCTCCACTCTAATTTAATACACTGCTCCACCGCTCACCACTCTAATACACTGCTTTCTCCCCAATTTAACTCACTGCCCCACCAGTCTAATACACTGCCCCACCTCCCTCCCCCAATTTAACAAATTGCCCCCTCACTCTAATATACTGCTCCGCCTCCCTCCCCCCAATTTAATACACTGCCCCCCTCCCTGTCCCCAAATTTAATACACTACACTACAGGAAGGTTCCCCCAAGCCCCTTTTCCCCTACCTTAAGCCGGCTTCAGTCCAGAACTGCATGATCTTCTCTACTCAAGCAGGCCACATGCTCATTTGGCACTGTGAGCAGCAGGGAAGGGGGAGAGGTGGGCCTACTCTGAACACAGCCAGCCACTCTGAGCAGTGTAGCGTCACTGCGCAGCCACCGGATATGACTCCATATGATGGAGCATGGAATCAGCAATGGCCCGCATGAAGGCCACAGCACAAAGCGGCCCCAGGGCAGGTGGCCTGCCGGAACATTTCCACGTATCCCGGTGGGCCAATCCGCCCCTGGGCCGCAAAAATACCCCCACGGACCACATGTTTGACATGCTTGCCCTAGCCAGTTCAGGTATTTTAAGTGTTCCAACTCAAGCACACATGCTGCATCTAATGAAGTCATTGATTAGTTGCCTCAGGTGTGCTTGAGACAAAACCTGTTTGGCATATTTGTGAATAGGGATTCTATTCAGGGAGTTGAATGATTTTGAGGCTGGAAAAGTCATTCTAAGTTGCATTTTCAGGTGAATTTGGGGAAACCACTTGAAGCATTCGTTGTGTTTAGCTATTTCAATAGCTTTTGTTTGATTTTTTCGTTGCAAACAGCAATATTATTTCAATCAATTATTTTGATTACAACTGTATATGTGGGGTAGGATAGGGTCTGCATTCTATAAACAAAAAGTCCCATTTTGTTATCATTAGTTCATTAATTTATTCTTCTCCTACCTGCCTTTTACCTGTGGCCAGAGAGGGTGGACATTACACTCCCTGGTGATCCAGTGGCATTATGCAGGCTGCCAGGCTTCCAGGTGCCGGTACAGGGAAGAGGGGGCCCAGCAAACCCGATCTGCAGCTTCCGGCTGCTTCTCTCATTAACCCAGTCTGTGTGCTGCTGTAACCAGCGGCAACAGTCTGATGGCCCGGACTCATGAGAGTTGGAGAGAGGAGCTGCCGGAAGCTGAAGATGGCTTTTGCTGTGCCCCCTCTTCACTATACAGGCAGCTAGGGATCTGCAGGGGCACACACATATATATTTAGTGATAATTGTTTTATATATATATATATATATATATATATATATATATATATATATATAGCCACATTGAGTATGTGTCCCAGAGAGGCCCAGGTCCCATACAGCTGTATTGGCTGTACCCTCTGATGTCGGCTTCACTTATTCCACTTATTACATTAAATATTTTGTGCTCAGATTCTATGAAAGACCCAAGTGACAGACTCTTGGCAGATCCAAGAATATTTAGGTTCCAAGCAAAGTGTAATGCTTGAGAATATTTTGTCTGGTTTTGTACAGTATGTTTTTAATTACACAAAATAAATAAATCCTATTTTAGTAGAATTTACAATTTTTGTTTGTCACCAAAATCTACACAAAATCAATCCTTGTGTTTTTTTTTTTTTTTTTTATAAATTAGGCAGTGTAAGCACCAAACATATTTTTGCAAATACACATGTGCCATGGTTTCACAGGATGGCAGCCTAAAAAGAAAAAAAAAGTATTTGTGAAAATCTAGAATTACTAGAGCTTAACAAACCTTTTTTGTTGGTTAACCCACAAACTTTTTTTGTGTCTCAGCAAAGTCACTTCAAAGTTACTACTTAGCAACTGCCGTAAAGTTTACATTAATTAGTAAAGGGTTTTATCCAGAAGGTAAGTGCTCCACTGGAAACTATAGAAATTACGGTACCATGTGCTATTCAATAAATGTCACTGTAGTTTCTTGGGTGAAAGGTAGCGTAAGGTCTCACTAGACAAGCTACACAACAAAACAAACTAGACATGTGCAATTCGTTTCTGTCCGAATGTGAATTCGGACGAATTTCGGGCAATTCGGACATTCGGGTACTTCTGATGAATTGCCGAATTGCCAAATGGTTGAAGTCCCAAAATTCAGAAATTACCAAATTTCCGAAGTGTCGAATTGCCGAAGTGCCGAAGTTCTGAAGTGCTGAATTTCCGAAGTGTCGGAATGCCGATGTTCCGAAGCACAGTATTGCCTAAGAACTAATATACTTACCCAGTGGAAGAATGAAGAATGTTACACTGTATACAATTTTAAATAAAAAGTATACAAACATAGCCAGGATTCAGCTGTAAGCATTTTCAACACTTACAACAATCAAGTAACATACATTCATATAAAATGTAAGTTACTTAGCCTGTCAGTGTAATGACAGGAATGAATAAGTAGATAACTCCCTAATTCCCACGGTATTAGGGAGCTATTTACTAAAAGGCTGAAAGACCTAAATTGGTCTTTCAGCCAAATTTACTAATACTAAGTAAAGATTACTTGGTATTAGTAAATTATGCCCCTACTCGCTATACTGTGAGTAGGGGCATGTCTATTAAACAGTGAGCAGCCTATGGCTCACTTAAAAAAAAGGTCTAACCTGAAGGGGGGACCTATTGCCCCCCCATCCCCCACCCCTGAACGGTAGGTGGTGGCCCAACAGTAAAATAAGGAGCGGGGGCCCTAAATACTAATAAGGGGGACCTAATGTCCTACCCCCTGGCCCCCACCCCTAAGCGGTGGGTGGGAGCCCTAAATACTAATAAGGGGGGTCCTAATGTCCTCACCCTGGCCCCCACCCCTGTGCTATAAAGCCTTCCCCCGCCCTGCAATTAGGCTCAGAGCACTCTGATTGGTGGGTTTAAGCCATCCAATCAGAGTGCTCTGACAGGTAAATGAAGATGCTTCCTTAATCCACCAATCAGAGTGTTATGAGTCAAATTACACAGCATGGGAAAATTCCAAAGAACTTTCCCACGCTGTGTAAAATGACACAGAGTACTCCTGATTGGTGGATTTCAAGACTTACCTGTCAGTCTCTTCATTTACCTGTCAGAGCACTCTGATTGGATGGCTTAAACCCACCAGAGTGCTCTGAGCCTAATTGCAGGGCGGGGCAAGGCTTTATAAGCCTTCCCCCGCCCTGCAGAGCTCAGTCTGCGTGGAGCCCTCCATGGGTGAAGATGGATTTTTTTTTGCGCTCGTTTTTATTTTTATTTTTTTTAAGTGCGTCGGTTATTATGTGTGTCGGAAAGACCAATTTAGGTCTTTCAGTCTTTTGGTAGATAACTCCCTAATACCGTGGGACTAAGCGGCTGCAAGAGATGTCCCGAAGTGCCAAAGTCCCGAAAGTCCTGAAGTGTTGAAGTGCCGAAGTTGCCGAATTTCTGAAGTGTCAAAGTGCGAAGTGTCGAAGTTACCGAAGTGTTGAAGTGCCGAATTGCCGAAGTCCCGAATTGCCAAAGTCCTGAATTTCGGAATGCCGAACCGAAAATTTTCCCCATGCACATGCCTAAAACAAAACTATTTAGTACCTCAGTAGAGAAAAACACTGCTTATCTCCAGTGTGGTACTGTAACTAATAATAATTAAGAAAGCAATATAAATGCTAAATTTAAAATAACAAACAATAATTAAGATGAGAAAAAAGTGGGGGTCCCCTGGGAATCCTGAAAAAGAACATGTCTGGTGAGAGGAGTGGGGGTCCCCTGGGACTCCTGAAAAAGAACATGTCTGGTGAGAGGCCTGTCCATATTCTATGCCTACGGGCTGTTGATGGACAGCACTATAAAGGAAGCCCAGGAAGCATCAAACAAACAAAAAAACAAACAAAACAAAAAAGTTTATGTCAGTTAATCCCTATTTAACAAAATGACCCCATATGGGTTCTGTAGAAGTCCAGTCTTCTAGTCCAGATAGTGCATAATCCCGTAAAAGATTAATCTATTAAAAATATTAGGGATTATCCCCTTGAATGCCAACCATGGCTAGGAGTCCTAAAATCACATCTGTGCACATTACCAGGCAAGTCTCATATGACCAACCAATCACAATGCTCCTAATGAAAGCTCAATGTGGGGGTGGACTTTATAAAAGCCTATCCTGCCTTAATTGGTTAGTATGCATGGAGCCCTCCAGCCAATCAGATTTTGAAGATAAGAAAGGTTTTTAAAAAAAAAAAAATGCTTTATTTTGTTTAGTAGAATAAAACAGTTTTAGTTCCATGACTCTTATTGCATGCAACGAATCCCTTAAATAAATGTTTGGACATAAGTTTATATAGAGCTATTCACTAAACTACAAATTGGAATCTACAATGTGTTCATAGTGAGCCATAACAACTTCATCTAAATTAAGGTTTTATGGTGTCAGGAGGTCCCTGGGCGAACTCTTACCTCAATGGGTTAAACCATTCTCGAATGGTTTAACCCCAAAGTTGCCTCCAGCACCGATCTCATCTTCCCCCCGACGGCATCCGGCTTCTGAAATTTCAGTTTCAGGAAGGGCGGAATGCCGCCATGCAGGAGTGCTGCTGATTGGCTGAGAGCGGTCAGCTGACACTCTCAGGCAATCCGTGACTCCCCATTCACAAAGCTAGATTGTCTGCTCAAATTCCCTTCTAGGACTTTAACAAGCCTTGATAAAGTATCCATGAAGTAAAGAAGGGCTCAGTTTAAAAAAACAGAGACATTCTCCTTACATGCATATCTTGGGATGGCAATACCTACAGCTTCTAAACTGTACCCTGCTGGTAGATATTATTAGGTATGCAGTTCACTTCACTGCGTGTTTGTTTAATAAAATTAATAATGGAATTTTCTATATTTTTTACAATGATGTTCTATAATGTAACCTGGCATGCCTTGTCATAACTCAGATTGTCTCAATCTACATGTACTGCACATATATTATACACTCAAAGTCATTACATGTACAGTGCATTCTTAAAATGTTTCTCACAAAAGCCTCAATTGAATATTTTTGGATGCAATTTTAAAATAATTTAATAGTTGGAAAAATATATTAATCTTTTGACATTTTTCTAATATATTGGTATACTTGTACAGTATATATGATTTATTTTTTATTTTTGATATTTTAATATTTAATCTTCTGAAAAGCTTTTCCAAAAACATTAAATCGAGGCAAAACTTAGAGAATTCGTAAATATTTGTCAACGATACAAAAGCAGGCTTGAATTTAATCAAAATACAATATAAACAGTTATTACAGAAGGTAGAGTTGCTTATCGGATAATTTAAAATCTGCTTGGGATCATTGTCTTGTTGGAAGGTCGAATGACGCTTAAGCTGCAGTTTCTTCACAGTTGGCATGATGTTTTCTCTGTCATCTGGCATCATCTTGTATGTCTCTGTAGTAAGTTTGTACGTTTATAAATTAACTGAAGAAGGTAAAAAAAAAAGAAGGTTATATGCAGTGGAAGTTTTTCTTTCATTGGTGAGGCATGGTGAGGCGTTTCAAAGATGTGTTATGTTTAGTGGAGAATCGCTTTAGATTTTTTTTTATTTTTTTTTAAACAAGGCCATAGTGTTTGGCTTACATAGCCCACATGTTTTTTTTTATCTAGTGCTTTTTTAATCTAATTACACAACCATGTCTTCCCACACCTCCCTCCTTTGTCAGTCCCTACATTGGCTTCCTGTAAGATATAGGACTCAATTTAAGATTCTGATACTTGCTTACAAATCTCTACACAATGCTGCTCCTACCTACTTATCCTCACTAATACACAAATATGTCCCATCTAGGCACCTACGCTCTGCCGGAGACCTATGTCCAACCTCTGTTTGTACTTCTACCTCTGATGCTCTCCTTTAACACTTCTCTAGGGCTGCACCGTTCCTTTGGAACGCACTTCTCTCTGTTAGAATTTCATCCAATCTCCATTCCTTAAAACAATCTTTGAAAACTCACTTCTTTATTAAAGCATATCAATTAAACTGTGAACAGCTTTCCATCCCCGCACCCTGATTCCTCTCCTGAAAACTGTCATCAAAACAAAACACTAAGCCCTCAATAAATACTATCCTAACAACCTACTTTTCTACCCTACCCTTACCATTTGTGTCCCTATATCCCACTCCCTCTGGCATGTAAGCTCATTGAGCAGGGCTTTCAATCCCTCTGTTCCTGTGTGTCCAACTTATCTGGTTACAAATACATGTCTGTTAGTCCACCCATTGTACAGAGCTACTGAACTTATTGGCACTTTATAAATAATAATAATAATAATAATAAAAATAATAATAATATTATACAAATAGTCTGGTGTGCTTATTTTGTCAAATACTACTCCTAAGCTTCATACCTGTTGGTGGGATAATAAGGTAAAGATGGGGTATGAGAATATAACCATAGCTCGTTGGCTGTTACTATGTTGGTGTGGGTGATGATCGTGATCAGAAGTTTGGTGTTGTCAGTACTGATTTTAAGAAGGTTTGTAAATGACCTGGGGAACATCTCTGAGGATAGCTGTGCATTTGTTTTTGTTTTTTTGTAACTGTATAAATGTTTACATTTGTGTCATTGGCATTGTTTGAAAGTTTCAGTCTCTGTCTTGGACAAAGTCTGCAAATAATTTTAATCAGATTTCAAACAGTAACGTTGATAGTGATGACATATATGGGGCTCTGCATGTTGCAGTCTGACACTGCTTTGCTACCCATATTCACTGCTTGGGTGATGTTAGTTCCATGGTCAACTAGGTAAATAACTATGAAGGGATCTACAAATATGTGTGCCATCCTTTTCTAGATATAGTAGTTGTCTAAGCATAATGGTTAGCCAGGAGAGGTCTACTTTCATATGAACACAATCAATCACAGACAAGTCAACAATAGGAGATCAAGGCTCCAGCAAGATACTAAATAACATAGTAAGTAGACTTGTTTATTTAGTTTTAAACAAATTACAATTCATCCGAATTTGGGGTGATCGGTGTGATATCTGAATTCCTCAACCCCTAATCACCAAATGACTGGTTTACGAAAAAACAAAAGCGACAATGGAAAACAGTTTTGTTTGTTTGTGACTCGGAGTTACATCTGTGGCACAAAGAAAAAAATTAATTGATGGATAGGGGACAGTCACTAAATCTTGATCTTATTCATAGATCAAGTGAGAAGTGACCAATAGAGGGGACAAAAGGAGGAGCATCAAAAAATCAATATGCATTATATATTTAATACATTTATATTAATACAGGGCCAGTGCTAGTCTACTATGCACCCTAGGGAAGATAAGCTACTTGTACCCCGCAAAATAAATAAAAATTGCCAACTTTATGTATCTCTTTCTCCTGCAAACCCTTTGTGTGTGTTTGTGTACTTCCCCCGCTCCTCTGTGTGACTCTTCCCCCTAGCACATTTGTGGGTCTCTTTCTCCCTCCAACCCCTACTGTGTGTCTCTTCCTCCCTTTGTGTATTTATTTTTCCCCTAGGCCATGTGTGTGCCTCTTTCTCCTCTCAACCCCTTTATGTGTCTCTCCCCCAGCCCCTCTGTGTGTCTCTTTGTCCCCAACCAGCCCCCTGTGTGTCTCTTTGTCCCCAACCATCCTCCTGTGTGTCTCTTTGTCCCCCAGCCCCTCTGTGTGTCCCTTTGTTCCTCCCAGCCCCTCTGAGTATCTCTTTGTCCTGCATGTTCCAGTGTGTATCTCTTTGTCCCCCAGTCCCTCTGTGTGTGTCATTGCCCCCTTCTCCAGCCTCTCTGTGTGTCTCTTTGTCCCCTCCCCCAACCATTCTGGGTCTCTTTAACTGCTCTCCAGTCCCTTTGTTGTCTCTTCTCCCCACCTGTTTACCTTCATGTAGCATGGACGGGTGAACTGTGGTGAATGATCTTCTGTTTCCTGTATGCAGCTTGACAGGAAACTGTTTGGTGCTCTCAGCGAGAACTTCCTGTCAGACCAGGTAGAGGATACAGAAGATCATCTATCATGGCCCACTTGGCCATGTTACATGTAGTGACCGGCAGCGGGGGGGGGGAGAGCAGTGCAGTGTGCTCCCCACGTGCTAATCATCCAGAGATTGCGCCCCCAGGACCGGTGTGCTCTAGGCATTTGCCAAGTTTGCCTAGTGGTTGGCCTTTTATATACTTAGGCCTTGTATTTACTTATATATTCATTTTTGTTTTACTGCTCCACCTATTTTCTTCTCTATTTGTTACTATTTTTCACTTGATCTGTGAACCTTGGTGGTCTGAAACATATAAGGTATTTTCCATTTTATATTTTCCCCCCTCTGACCCCCTCCATTCGGCAATGGATTATTATTATGAAGATGAACTAAACAATTTTTTGGGTTGATCCCTATTTATTTTCCTTATTTATTTGAAAGTTCCCCTAATTCCCTTGTATCCCATGTAATTGCCATCCCACGTGCAACGTTACTTTTTATTTGTAGATTTTGTAGTATCTCGGGACCTCAGTTTTGTTCATCTTACAGACTGGCTCGAGGGCGGCTTACATTATCACTGTCCTTGTCAAACATTATGTTTCTGTATTTTCTTTCACAGAAAATAAATAATGTTATCAAAATGTTTTGGTCGCTATAATCTGCTAGGTTTCCATGACTTCAGCATCAGCCACCAACTACATTACTATACAAAGACACATGGCAAAGGAAGGGAGTGCAGGTTTGGATTATATTAGTATTCTGAACAGTGTGTTATCGTTTCCACTATCTTATCTTGGGGAAGTTATCTCAACAAACATTTTGACTGATAACATAGATAGATTAGCAAATTAACCATGATGGCAAACCAAAAGGAAACAGTAAAACTTTTTATTTCTATGATGTTTCTCACACACACAAGAGAATTCTGAAACATCTGGCAACAGTACAGAAGTGATTTAAATGTAAACACATTTCAAACAAATTAGCAGTTTTAAGTACAATTTGTAGCTAATTGAATAGAATCGATATTTAACGTAGACAACAATAAAAAGGTCAACATCGCTATGCTCAAAACATAAGTAAATACCTATAGAACTCAGATGGATGAACTTCATTTTAATTTGGTTATTTGCTAAGATACCAGGATTTATTCACTAAACAGGGAATCAGGGAGGATTTACATGGGAATTGCAAGTAATTGGTCAAAATTCTCAAATTCTGTAAAATTCGACCTAAAATTTCCACCTCCTTTGTCAGTTCTCTATATTTTCCAATTTTGTGAGTAAATCATATAGCATTAAGTTGGTAAAACTGTTTCACTGACAACGATCTATGTACCTTTACAGGATTAATCTCCAGAATCTTAAACTAGATGGCAAACTTTTAAATATTAGGTTTCTTTCCGCAATAGATCATACAATATAAGGGAAACGTTCAAATAAAATAAAACAATGCAACTTGTTTAAACGTGTTGGTTTTCACATTTTTATATGAATAAACATGGCATGGTTTATACAAGATGCTGGCTTTCATGCCAGAATATTTACATTTTTGTTTTT